ATTTTTTTTCATTACAAGTTTTTTGTTTTTCACTTTCCATTTCTAATTAAATAACAATTTTTAATAAAAAATGTTATTAGTATTTTTAGAAATCTCTTAATTATTCTCTTGAAATTTCACAAAAAGGGAAAAAATGTTAAAAATGTTAGTTTTTAATAGTTTGATTCATTAAAATGACATTTCTTTTCAATACTGTAAGAAAAAAGATTTAATTAAAATCAAAGAATCTACTATTGAAATTTCTGTTTTAAATTTCTTTTTCAATGCAATATTTTCAATACAATATTTCGGTGGAAAAGTTGTAGACGATTTAAAGACAACTGAAAGTGATTCATTCATTAAATAATGTTTATTCTTCTTAGTCTCGTTGCAATATCCTTTGCTCAAAATAAATGCTCAACAGCTATTTCTATTACTCCATATTTTGATGTATATGATTCAGGAACATTTACATTAACAGATAATAATCCATCTACATGGAATTGTTATTCATCTGGTAATGTTAATCAAAATGCTTATGTCTTTAAATTTACTAGTGATTCTGATGCATCATATATTGCAAGTACTTGTTATCCAGAAACAGTTATTGCACCAAGAATTATTGTTGGAACAAAATGTGAGAATGATGTTACTACAGAATGTATTGGAGCAGAAGATATTTCTCAAAATGTATGTGAAGGACATAGATCAAAAGTTAGATTTAATGTTCTTAAAAACCAAGAAGTCTTTGTAATGGTTACTGGTGTTACAAAGAATGAAACTGGTGCATTTAGATTAACTGTTAATAAGGAAACAAAACCAAATAATTCATATTGTCAAACTGCTATTAAATTAGCACTTCCAACTACTATTACTCAAGACATTGATACAAATCATACTAAACCAGATTCTTATAAATTTGGTCATGGCTTTTGGTATCAATTTACAGCAAAGAAAGATAAAGTTTATATTAATACATGCAACAAATTTACTACTGTTAGTACTTCTATTTCTATACTTTCTGTTGAAGGAGCAAATATTACAGGTAATTGTAAAGGGGATGAACCATTAATTCAAGTGAGTAAGAATTGTGGAATAAAATCAAGACTTGCATATAATGTTGTAGTTGGAAACAAATATTTTGTTTTTGTTGGTTTTAAACAACATGATATTTATAATCCAGAACCTGGAACTATTCAAACATATTTCTCATATGAGGCTGATGCATCAACATGTTCTCGTTCATATGCAATTACTTCATTCCCAGCTATTCTTGAAGTTGAAGTTGCAGGATTAAATAAAGACAAAACAGGATGTGGTAAAAATAATTATGGATTTTATACATCAGTTCAAGGAGATGATAATATGTATGCAATTCATACCTGTGCTTCAATAAATAAACATACTGATATAGAAGTTTATGTTGATGATTGTAATGTTTGTTATTCAGGTGGATATAGAAAATGTGGGATAAATTCATATATTGTTATGAAGCTAGAAAAGAATCATCATTATTATATTAGAGCATCATCAATTGATGAAAATGCAACTGTTGTTTTGAATATTTTAAGAGTAGATGATGTTAGTAATTTCCAATGCTCTAATGCTCATTCAGTTTTACTTAGAAATAAAGGAGATATTTTTTCTTCAAATGTTATTGCATCAAATAGAATTCCAACTACAACAGGATGTTTAGGTCCAGTTATAAGGCAAGGTGCTTGGTATAAGATTGAGAGTCTTCAACAAAAAACAAATGTTGTAGTAGGTGTTATTCCAACTAATGTAAATAAATATACTAGTTATTTAGAAGTGAAAGATCTCTGTGAAGAACCAACACAATGTAATTCATTTACAGGATTATATTCATTTACAATTAATAAAGGAGAAAGTAAGTACAATTTTGCTACAGCACATAAAACTATTAATGAAGTTAATGACTTACCTGACTATGGTGCTTTTTTGTTTTATGCTTCTTATGGAATTGAAACTAGAGGTTCTTCAATTGAAAAAAGAATCATGATTGATAGTCTTCCATATACTGGAGTTGCTTTACTTGGTGGAGCACGTTCTAAATGGAGTTGTGATCAAGAAAAAGAATCAATTGGTATTTGGTATGGAATTAAAACATATGGTGGCATTACTTATGTTGCTACATCCTGTGGTGAGGAAACTAATTCAAATATTGGTGTTACTGCATCTGGTGACTATTATTATCCATATTGGACATGTTTCTCTCCAGACACTGAATCAACATGTGGGTTTGGAAGTACAATCCAATTAGAATTATATAAAACTATTCCTGCTATTAATACTTCAATTCTTTTCCATGCAAAAGATGTCAATGCTCAAAAAGCATTTACTAGAGTTAGTATTTATGAACAAAATGTTAGACCAAAGAATTCAATGTGTTCTAACGCTGAAGAAATTCATGTCCCAGCAATCAAATATTTCAATACAATGTTCTCTACTTCATCACGAAGAATTTGTGGATCAACTGAAGATGGAATAAAAGGTGTATGGTATCATATCACAGCTCCAGAAGATAAAACTCTTCAGGCATTAACTGATGACTCATCAACATTCTATTCCCATATTGATATGTATAAAGAATGTACTACTAACTTAGAAGAGTCATGGCCAAAAGAATGTGTTGCCTTTGGAGATTATACCACTTCTCCTGTTGGTCGAAAAGGAACTATTGTTTCTTATCCAATGAAAAAAGGTGAGTCTGTCTATGTCTTTGTTGGCGCTCATAGCAATACCAACACTGGTCTTGGTAGAATTTCTTTCTCTTGGAAAGAAGAAGAAGGACTAAATGATGACAGTACTAATAGTGAAGAAGAAGATGATGATG